TATTTAAAATGCAATGTTGCAAACATAGTCCTTATTGTGCAGAAGGGCCTTTTTTTTCTCTTTTTTTTTTTTTTTTTTGATGTTTTGGGGTGAAAAAGTTACACTGCTGTGTGGTTAGTGTTTGAAATCGGCTTGTCGTGCATGCACAGTAACTTTTTCCAGAGCAAATTTTTTAGGTATGACCATCCTTAAGCGGAGCAATGGCCTCTACTGCCAATAGATACGATACCAAATACAGAGAGACTCAATGGAGCCATTCTTCTCTGTCGCATTAACACACTTTTTAAAATACAGATGTTCAGTACGTGTTTGCCCTACTAGACAGCAGGCTCTTTACTACTTCAGAGGGTTTTCTGGTCTATAGAATCTGTACAAATACTTTTTTATTTTAACAAAAAAAAAGAAAAAAAAATAAATATTTAACCAGTGGACCAGTTCTTTCTTCTTTCAGAGCTGTTCCAGTTTATCGGGTACGTAATAAACTTTTTTAAAAAAGTAAAAAATAAAAAAATAAATCAGATAAAACCCTGAATGAGAACATATTTCCTTGACAGACTTGATGAGCTATGAACTGTTCCCGTTTCACGGGCAAATAATATAGATTTTTTAATAATCTTCTGTGATTTTTTTCTTTTGTTGTTCATTTCTTGTAAAGGGAATTAAGTGCAAAAGAAGATATCGTGGAAATAACATTAAGGTTGTGACACTGACCAAAATAATATCCAGAACCATTTGCACCATAATTAGCACTTTTATCAGGTTCTCTCTTTTCCCGTTTCCCTCTGTTCTGGCCCCAAGCTGGCAAGCAGGTCCTGTCTTCAAACCCAGCCAGATGCCGTGGCAGGAGCAGGGTCTGCGAGTTCGATTCCATATCAAAGCTCCATTTGGTAAAATTCACAAGCGCTAGCTTAAATCCGACTCCTTTTCATAGGATTTAAGTCTATGCTTAAGTCTGGCAATGACTGCTCCGGGGAGCATCCCCACAAACCACCTGCCTCTCCAAACCTGGTGCCAGGTGTCAATTTGCTGCTTTCTGCCGCTTTTCTGCCCTTTGTCACACTCTTAACATTATTCCAAGGTAGCTTTTGTATTTAATTTACATATATATAAGCATATATATATATATGAAATATATATTATACATATATATATATATTTTATATATATATATATAGAACCTGTACATAAAGAAAAGTAATGCAGCAGTTGCGCAGTCAGCATCCTGCTTTTATTAGGTGCGTTTGACATTAGCTTTGGGCTAGATCAAATCTGCTCGACTCCCCTCCGTAACTCTGTTTCCCCCCCGATCTGGCGGCACTCGCAATGGTTGTGGGTTTTATTATTATTATTATTATTATTATTATTATTATTATTGCTGTTTGGGGATTTGTCGTCGTTCTTTTTCCTCCCGTTCCCAGCGCAGCGGCTGTTGGCGCGGCGGGGTTAAGCTCTGCCTGGGGCCCAATGGTGCTTCACGCTATTCCGGGGCAATACTCTGCCTATGGCCACGGCAGAGGGGATCACAGACACATAAGGGCTAATTTTATCCCACTGGCAGCTCGGAGCTCCCGAGGACGAGCATCCCCTCCCGCTGCCCCCGGGCGCCCTCCCATTCCCGCTGGGAACCGCAGCATCCCCTGGAGCCCAGCCCAGCCAGCGAAGCGAAGGGAAGGCACCGATTTCCCAGCTCCTGCCCCAAAATGCTGGCGGCTCTGTCCCTTTTATCATCCCCCAGGCTACTTTGGAGGAGTAAGCTCTTGGCGTGAGCCACTTACAAGCCACAGCTTCTATAATACCGCTCCGAGTGCCCGTTCCTGCTGGAAAACAGGGATGCTAAAGCCTGAGCTCCCTCATTCTGCATGGGTGCTGCAGGGGCAGGTGAATCTGGCACTTTACAGCGGCAGCTCGCAGTGTTGTTTTGCAACAGAGCACATAAAATGGGCAAAATTCAAACCCAAAGCCCAGTCCTCGCTTTGCGTTGGAGGTGCATCAAGGTCCTTGCTGCCAAACAGATGCTCAGGCCCCCAGAAGTCGTTTTGTGAGCGGGACTTGGCCCGCGCTGTTAAATCCGTGGAGCCTTCGCATTAAGGACCAAGCCTTGTACCCAGAGCTAACATGGCACTTAGGAGGATTTAAACTTAAACGTTTCAGGAGCCTCAGTGATTTATTCTGTACTTCGAGTTAAGCGTGAATTTAGCTGCTTTTTTTTTTTTTTTTTTTTTAAATTCGAGGTTATGGAGCTCAGCGCTTTGCAGGACTGAGCAGACCCCGGGAGGAGGAGGAGGAGGAGGAAGGGGGCAGCTGGCTCCCAAACCTGCCCAGTGCCTTGACGCAGATCTCCAGCAAGTCGAATGGCTCGCAGGCTCTTGGCTGGGTACCCCAGGCTTGCTCCAGGAAACCCTTGCAAACGGGCGATGGAGTGGCCGCGCCCGCAGCCAAGGGCTGGGCAGGGTTTGCTCCTCCGCTCCTCGGGGGGCCGTTCTGCAGCCTCCAAAGCCGAGCCTGGCTGTCCCGCGCACAGGAGCCGAGCGGCTGGCGGAGGCTGCGGGCGCGAGCACACCGCCTCGCCCCGCGTCTTCACGGTAACTCCCACCAAAAATGGTTTAAAAATCCACAAAATAGTTGCTTTTACCTTAAGACGTTTTGCACTTATCCCCTTTTATTCTTTTTTTTCCTTTTAAATCCACAGAACTAGCATCTGAAAAAGCAATATACTCGGTCACAAAGATCTCATTAAAATTACTCCAGTATTTTATACTGAATCCTAAACAGTTTGATCTAGCCCTTTTCTGGTGTTCTGGCAATAGTTTTCTTTTTTCTCTCCTTTTGCTAATTCAATTTCATCATGTGCTTTTCTTTTTTGTTTTTTTAATATATTCATCTATTGCACAGTATTTACGAATAAAAGCATATTGTAAATTATTTGCAAAAAAATAAAAAAAAATAAAAAAAATCAGTCCTGGTGGTATAAAACCAATCTGTTTTCATTTCTGAGATATGATGGCACTTACGATCACTTTAGTAAATGTAATGTAAAAATAATAATAATAATGTGTACGCAAATTTAATATACATGGTCTCATGTAAGATAAATATTTGCCTTTTTTTCTAAAAGGTGTATGTATTCTGTAAGTGGAATAGTCTGTAGAAAGTTTCTATATGTTCTTAAAATGGCAATACATTCCAAAAAAGGTACTGTAAATATGTACAGCATACAATGTAATTTGGTAGTTTTGCCTGTAATTTTATTTTAACTCCAGTTTCTACACTTGCATCTTGCAATGTCTGTATGGGTTATATCAGTGCAAAAAAAAAAAATGCAGGTAAAAAGCACAGTCTAATGTAAAAACAAAAACACAAAAAAAAAAAAAAACCCACAAAACACAAAAAAAACACAGAAAAAAAAAACAAAAAGGAGAAGAAAAAAATACTCAGTATTTGATGTTTGTGACCCTTATTGTAAATGACATCTGTACTGTGAATGAGAAGTTTTTACAAGTATAATATTGCCTTTACTACAGCTCAGTCTGTCTGCTCAGCCTGGGCATATTTTTAAAAAAACAGCATGTTGGAATAAATTTTACAGTCCCAACATATGATGACCCGCATGACTGGCAGTCTTTAATTTTTCAGTCGCTTATTTTTCCAGTGCAGACACGGCCCCTCCAAAAGCAGGGAGGAAAAGTGGCCCGAATGGGTGCAAAGGAGCGGCGGAGCCCCGCGGTGCCCCGGGCGCAGGGGTGCCCAGACCGCCCCGCCGCTGCATCTGCAGAGTCCTGGCATAACTCAGCGCACAGGTGTGCACCGGCTGCAGCCACAGCGTTCAAGCTGGGCGCGAGGCTCTGCAAGCTTTGGGGCGTTTCTGCTGCTTTTTGGTGCAATGGTTCCCAAGCCTGCTGTGCCTTGCCTGGTCCAGCTGCTGGCCTGAGCCCTGTCCCAGCGAACTCGTCCCCAGCCCGCTGCCTTTCCTGAGTGCCACCTTTTAAAATAATAATTACAAAGAATTAAAAGAATAAAAGCCCGTAATTGCCCCTGCTAGCTGTCCTTGCTGCCTCCAGCCCATCCTTTCCCGTCAGGGTCCAGCAGCCCCTCTGGGGCCCCTTCCCAGCCGCTCCTCTTTGCCCCTTTGTCCCGACGATCCTCATGCGACAAAGGGGACACTGCAAAACGGGTCAGGGAAGCGCAGTGGCCACCTGATTGCACGGAATCCCAGAATGGTTGAGGTTGGAAGGGAGCTCGAGAGATCATCTAGTGCAACCTCATTTCTCCGTGTGAGCGCGCAGCTGCGGCCAGCAGAGCAGCTGCTCAGGGCTGGAAGCACCAGCGACGCTTAACGATGCCCAGTGTGGTAACACCGGCACCACAGGGCACTGGGGGCATGCAGGCGTGCAAGGACTCTGGGGTAACATGTGACAGGGCTCAAAGAAGACCGGATCCTTTATTGCTCTAATAACACCTTGTATTTCCCTTTATAGTAGTTGCAGGCGAGGATGCAACCATTGGCTGCATTGACTGCAGCCTGGGGATGGTGCCATTCCTTCCAGACACACGGCCAGTCCCGCCTGGCGTGTGCTTGAGCTGCTGAAGAGAGGAGGCATTTCTCTCTCTCTTTCTCTCTCTCTCTTTTTTCTTTTCTTTTTTTTTTTTTTTTTTTTCCTAACAAAAGAAAAAGGGAAAAAGAAAACGATTCACACCAATGCTTAAAACCAGAGACACCTTAAAGGCAGCCAGAGCTGTCTGGAGAATGCTGCAGCTAAACCCCAGTAATCTCCGAAACCTGGAACCAATTTGGTTTACACAAACCTAATCTCCAAAACCTGGAACCATTTTGGTTTACAGGAACCTCCAGAGTGGCTCTGATTAATCAGATGTCCCAAAAAACAGGTTTCCATAAAGTTTCTTTGTTTTCTAGACTCAGGGATGAGATGTTTCCTCTCCTGCGAGGCCAAATATATCATCAAAATATGAAGTATCCTTGGGCTGATCTTACAGCTTGGTTCTTGCTGGGAAAGGTGGTTACTGATGACCATGCAGAAGAAGGAAGAACATGAGAAGCCTTTGGAAGGAAGCTCCAAAACCTGTACCTTTTTCCAGGAGTCTAAAATTTCCCCAGTTCTTTTAAAATACTCAAGTCCTGCAGTGAAATGGTCTTTTCTTCTGCACTGTCCCGGTTTCAGTCTCCAAGCTGCTTGGACCTAAGAAGAGGCCTCCACTATCATCATCATCTCTGAAAGGACAGATGTGTCTATAGACTCAAGTTCTCGGCAAAGGTTAGGTTTGAGTGATGTGCTTCAGTGAGAACGGCCTGTGACCTGTGTGTCCTTCTGTTCTGGAGAGCTAAGGTAAAACAACGCTCAAGTTTAATTCCTTCAGGAAAGCCTGGCTCAGGGTCAGCCTTAGGAGCTTGCAAGTATGTGACTGGGGAGCCTAGCGGGGGGTCTTCCTAGCCAGGACTACCCTGGGAAATCTGTGCCCTTTGCTCCAGGATGCTGTGCTCAACTCTAGGCCAGACTAACGCGGGGATTTGAGCTGCGCCCCGTTCAAAGGTATGGTTCAATTATCACGACCGGGAAAAGCTGTGGGCAGCTCTGGACCTCCTGCGGGCAGCTCTGGCGGTTGGGCGGCTGTGGATGTGTGAACGCAGCCTGGGCTTGCACGTGGGACCTCCTGCAGCCCCCGCTCCACCACCACCCCGGGTCGGGAGAAGGATGCAGGCGGGGTGGAGAGGATGGAAAAACAAACGACTGCATGAACTGGAGCCTGGCTGCAGAGACCAGCCCCAGGGACAGCTCATCACAGGAGTGTGCCTGGGACAGAGCAGGGGACAAGCAGCTGCGAGTGGCTGGGGACGGGGGGCAGCCCCTCGGGGTGAGCCCCGCATCCTCCCCTCTGCGCCAGATGGTCCGGGCCCGGAGCAGCGTTTCCCCCCGGGAGGAGGGGATTTGGATGGGAAAGGCACTGGGGCCCTGCTCGTTGTTATGGCAACGGGAGGAGGCTGCAGGGAATGGTGATGGAGAAGGGCTCAGCCACGCAGGGACCTAAAGCCACGTGGATTTGCAATTTGGAATCATGGTAAGCACACTTAGCTAGATCTTCAGTCCTATACACATGAGCCCTGGGCAGGTCCCAGGTACATCTGCACCATTGCTAGTCCTTTGTTATTTAGTCTTACAATGTATCCTATATGGAGCCTTATATATATCCATTCTATACGGAGCACTCATATCTTTGAGGTGCACGTAGCAGGAGAGGTTTAGGTAGAGGCTGATTTTCTCTGGGGACAAATAGATAGACCAGAAACACTCTGGAGATCCTCATGTGTTATTTTCTATTCCTGCATAACTGTTTGTGAGGGTAGTTACCTGGTTTTTATAATATTCTCCCTTGACAGAATGGATTTATTGAGGTCCACGGTAAAACAGTGACGCATCACAGGGTGGATGATTTTGTGCTATCAAGAATCAAGGCATTTCATAGATAAGGGAACAGTATAATCTGTCTGTCTGTCAAGCCAGACTTAAATCTTTGATGTGCACCTTCTCTAGGCCTCTCAAGCCTCATTTTGACTGCCATTTAACAGACTCGGTCCCCATATCCTCATGCAATGAACATTTTCATGCAAACTGGCAGTCGAGTTTGCAAAATCCTGACGCTGCTTTAGAGAAACATCGTTGACGCTTCCTCATATTTGTCTTGTGCTCTTGGAGTATCCAGGGAGGTTCATTTTCCTACCAGGCTCTACCCAAAGAAGGTCTAGGAACGGCTTCTCTAGGAGCAAAGCCCACAATTCTTCAAGCCTCCCAGGGCACCAGGAACTGATGCTTTAAACTTCTCCTCTCACAATCCAACAACCACCATGAGACTCGCCGGCACACGAAGTAACGCTGCTGCTAACAGCAAACCTATCTGCCTGGTGCTTTTATATGTCTGACTGGAGACCTAATAAGCACGGAATTGGTGTGTGATTTAATGAGGAGAGCTTCAAAGGTGTTGTTTCCACACCTAATTCACTCATCTGGACTAATAACCTAAATGGGTGGCATTTTTTATTTCCTCCCAGCAATTTACTATTTACCCAGTTGTTTTACAGCTTGTAATTTAATAAGTGCAATAAGGCAGAGGTAGTGCTTCAGGAAGGAGGGCAAGCGGAGAGAGCCCGCGGTCGCTCCTATAAACTGCTCTGGTGGCCGCTGCAGGTCCCATTACATTTTAGCTCTTCTGCAGCACCGGCCAGCGGGAGATGTGGTGTGCTGAGCCTCCATTTCCAAAATGGGCCAGAAAGCTGATGAAATGGGAAAATGGCAGTGCTGGTTCTTCTCTTACGGGTTTGTATTGAGCAGCCTGGGAAGGGGTCAGTCTGGAGGGGCAGTAGGGCCAAAGGAGATGCAAGGAGAGCAAAGCTCGCCCGCCCGGTGCAGCAAGTCTCCCTTCTGGGCTCTCATGTGCGCGAGGGGGCAGCTGCCTTGTCAAAGCTCAGTTTCTTTGTGCTGGCCTGTCCATCAAGGCTCAGGGGTAAATTCCACAGTGTGACCTCTATGGGTGAAGAAGTCTTTCTGACTGAAGCTGATAAAGGCCAGGAGTCTCAGGGATCCTTAGGGACACACAGACAGCTCCAGATGGGAGGGAGAGAAAGGCCCGAAGCACATTTTTGTTCTTAACCTCCCATCTGCCCAGCATGTAGGAATAAATGAGAGATTTTTTCTGTCCTCACATTGCACCAACAGCTTCTGCACTGTCAGATCCAAATGGCCTTTTTGATTTTTCTGTTTTTTTTTTGACTTTTGTTGGTTTTTTTGGGTGGCTTTATCCCATCTGAAGCATCCCTTAAGCCATGCTACTCATTGGGTCTCCTTGCACCTCCCCAGCTTTCCCAGCCAGGAGGAAGCTGAGCCGTTGCACCAAGGCATTGCTCCTGTTGCAGGCTCGATGACACGGAGCTGCTGCATGCCAACGTGCTGCGCCCGTCCCGCCAGCCGTCCTTCCCCTCACGCGTTCCCCATCCTCGCCTTTCCAAGCACTTTTGCACTCATTGAAGGGCCGTTATCCAGAAGCCCGGAGGCTGCCGCTGAACCAAGCTCCCTGCGAAACGTTCCCGCCGTTGCTGTGATACCAGTGAGAACGCGCACCAACCACCAGCCTTGCTATTACTGCCTAAACTAGCTTGGAGATTAGGTCATTTTACAGAAAAAGCTTTGAGTCAAAGATCTGTAGCTGTGCTAGCCACGGGCAGAAAAGTGGATGCTGCTTAGGATTCATCATCTCTTTTGCAAACCTTCTTTCTCCCTTTCTGCACTTATTTGAACCCCTTGGGCTCATTGAGCTTTGGTGCACTGGCCGTGTTCTTTCCAAATGTGCAGCACTGAAAGCATAGCCCCATTTTGTAGTCTGCCCGTTAATCAGGCAGCTCCACAGGAAGGGGAAAATCCTAATAAACCTGCAGCATGCTCCCCTGTTGCTAATTAACATTGGAGCTATTTCCCTCCATTTTTAAGTGGGAAAATAGAAGCGAGCCTAGCTTGTGCTCCGAAGAGCCACATTCCTGGCCCATGAGCTATTCCCCAAAGGCAGCCCTGAGAGCATCCAAGGCAAAAACTCTGCTCGGTTTTCCTGACTGCAAAGCAGAGTGGAGAGGGGCTGCAATTCCCATTCTGGCCTGCTGCTGAAGCCAGCAAAAATGACTTCAGAGATGGGCAGGCAGGGACCTGCCTGGGCTCCAGGCCACGGCGCTGGGCTCAGTGCAGGAGCAGCAGCAGCCCCTGCTGCTGAGGAGCACGCAGGGGCCCACGTTTGGGGCTAAAGAAGCAAATATCAGCCTCGATCACCTCCCACTCCTGCGTGGGGATGAAGAAGGGAGGGTGGATGGTCCTGCAGTGAGGTGTGCATTGGCATGGACTGAGCTGCTGGATTTCTGTCTACACAGAGAAAGACAACAAGAATGTCTGCTTTGGGCTCCCAACACAGAATCCATCAGACCTGGGTCTATGCCACAGATTTCCCTGCTTCTCCTCATTCTCCTCTCTGCCTGCAGACAGTCAGAGCCCTCCCTGGTCACCCGCCCTGGCTCCCTCACCCCTAAGACCCAAGTCCTCCAAGGTCTGGCTTACTGGCTTCCACCCGGACACATTGGCTCGTTTGTCCCTGCTTCTGCAGAGCAGGGCTGCTGCAGTGGGAGCCGTTTCCATTTCGGAGGCCGGCGTTTCCTCGGGCCGGGTGCCGCGGTGCCGGCACGGTGATCCCTGGGCAGGGCTCGCAGCGCGTGAAGGCGGCCGCACAAGGCCTGCGGGCCCTCAGCTCCGCCTGCCTAACGACTGCAGGGTCCTCTCTGTGCCTCCGTGGTGGGGTGGGAGCAGGAGCCAGGCACCCAGGCAGGAGCCCATCCCCGCAGGTGCTCACGATCAGCCCATCAAGAGGATCGCCCCTTAAAAGAAGGACTCTCCCAGATCTGCCTTTTCTCTGAGGCCTCACACAGCTTGGCTCCTGCAGAGGTGAGTGATTTGAGGCCAAAGGTGGAAAAACTGGGTTTCAGATTGGGCTAGATTCTTCTCTGGCCCCCAACCATATCTTCTGAGCATGCAGAAGCCTTCCCTGGCTGTCCCATTTGCCCCCACCAAGACCAACACATCATGACGACACATAGAGCGTCATAGCACAACCTCAGAGCAAGGCACCCACGCTTGGTGCCGCGTTCCTGGGATGGGTGGCATCACCAGCCCCTGCGTTAGACCAGCCCCCCCAAACCCTCTCCGTTTTGCGTCAAGTTCCTCACACAGCTCGGATTTGGCAGTGCAACCTCCCTGCTTTGGAAAGGGAATTATGCGTGTCTGCGGAGTGCCATCTAGTGGGGTTTTGTTTTATCATCCATGTTTAATTACAAAGCATCATCTTTTTCAAAAAACGTGTAGGTTTGATCACAGGATCAACGCGCGAGTGTGTAAGCGTGCCTCCGGGTCAGATAACAAATTAATGCAAATTTTCTCTCTATGCCTGCTCCTAACAGCTCCTTTCCTTGCCAACTGTTTGAGTGTGTGTATGTATATCTGTTCCTTGCCTAATGCCTGCATATTTTTTCTGGTACATTATTGGTCTTGATTTAGAGTGGAAGCTCCACAGGGCAAATATTTCATGTTTTTGCTGCTCCTTAAAGGACTGTACAAGTCAGGGGCACTACAGGCAGAATAAAGTTGACATAGGCCCTAGATGGTTTTGTGGGGGGTCCTGCAGACACAGCTGTCTTGCCTCCAAACCTAGCAAGGTGTATCCATGGGCATCTCTGCACACGTTCGGATTGCCTGGGGAGCTGAACTCGTGTCTGCATTTGCACATATTGTTGGTATATACTCACACAAATATGTATACTAAATACACGTGCAGTATATGTGTGTATATATAGACACATAGCATATAGATGCACAGTTTGTAAACAATGTACACGTGGAAGGAAGGGAAGATACAGGGACCATCACTTGCTTTTATGTCTGATACCTCTTCCCAGATGGGTGATTCTGTCTGCCAAGGTGTCAGCCTTAGCATTACTATTATTGTTGTTATTTTTATTATTATTATACTTCGTTCTTATTCTTTTCTTATGTAAACCAGCACCCACAGGATGTTCAAAGTTTTGCTTGAGAAAGAGCTGAGCAAAGCCCCGAGGAGCTGACACTGCAAAATGGTTGGTACCTAGCAACTTTTGCAGCCTTATTTGCACACTCATCATCACAACAGCCGTAAAAGGCCTCTGCATGCATCGTTGTCACCCCCAGGAACACCTGCAGCACCAGAACTAAGGACTGGCTACAGGACAAGGTGGGTGCCAAGAATTTCAGTTGGTAAAGCTTTGGAGAGTCATTCCAGGGCGCTATGAGTAGAATCCTCTGTGTCATCTCATTGTTTTGCCCTCTGCCCATGACCATCCCCATGCACATACAGAAAAGCTCCATTGTGTCTCAAACCCAGTTGGAAGCTTGGATCCCCAGAAGGGACCATTGAGCTGGGAGACGTTTGGCTTGGTTCTGGCTATTGTCACCATACGTGTGGCTGCTAATGTTCTGTCTTATTCGCTGTGATTCATCCCAGATACTCCTGGTGCCTGGAGAAGCCTTGCTGTGAAAAAGCTCCATGTTTATTTACAGCTCAGCCTGTCACTCCACTCGGGCAATTCCTGCTCGCGTTTCTCTTGGAAAGGAAGAAAAGAGCAGTTGTTTAACTTATTCCAAGTGATTTCCCCTTCTCAGTGAGGCTATACCCATAACTATACTATGACCTGCTGCAAGCAGATTCAGTAAATTTCAGGTGCAATCGCCTGAAATTATTCTGCCTTTCCTTAAAACTACACCCGGGAGCAACTGGACAGCATGATGCCTTAATCCCAGGGAAAGTATCCTGACTGGTGAGTTTTTCTTAGGAATCAGGACTGGCCTCGTGGCTTATCCCCTCCATGGTGGGCACAGCCACCTGAATGGCCCAGCGTTGTCTCTCCAGGAGAGCCAGGCTCATGGGAGCAGCTTGCGTTTGGCTGGCTGAGGCTGTTGGGCACATGCCATAACCTGACACCCTGTTTATCTAAAACATATTCCAACTTGGACCAGTCTGTTTTCAAGAGACCTTGTCCACGGCCAACATGGAAGCAGCAGAGAGGCCCCGTTGGGAATTTGGCCCAAGCAAAGTCAAAGCTGCTGGTGGTGATCCAAGAATTTTAATTGATTCTGCCAACATACACACCCTGAGCACTCAGAGGTGCTCAGTGTCGACCTGCACGCCCAAAATCCTGCCCCAGAGACCCTGCTAACGTTGCACTCTGCTTGCAAGCAGAGTACCCATCGTGGGGGCTCAGCTTGGGACCATAGTGGAGGGGATATGCTTGACACGAGCTGCCAGCATCTGCTTTCATGAGATGGTGGTGTGTGACACAAGAGCATTGAGATGGGAGGCAGATGGTTACTAAAGACGTCGTTGGCTTTGCCTTTGTAGAGAGTGGAG